GCCAGCTCTGAGCAGCAGGGCCCCGGTTCAGATCCCATATTAGGGCCAGTGACGCTGCGCCCTCTACAGCTAAGATGGTGAACAACAGCTCGACCTGAATCTGGGCTGCCATGAGTCGCCAGCAACATCATAGGCTGCAGCCCCTGCTGCAATGGGCTGCCATGAGCTACCGTGAGTGGCTGGTAGCCAGCATGAGCGGCTGGCAGCCAGCGTGAGCTGCCATGAGCCACTGTGAGTGGCCCTCCAATGGCCGGCGAGTGACTGCCTCACCCAGGAAGAGCGCAATGATGATGCCAACATGGGCCAGTAAAGCGATGTCCTCCACAGCTAGACTGAAGAACAAAAGGACACCAACTTGTCTGTTCCCCTCCCCCAATTCCCCAATAAAATCTTTAAAAAAAAAAAAAAGAGGAAAATATCAGAGTGAGTGCACGAAGTAAGGATATTATTTCCTGAACTTTTGCCTGAATCCAGTATGTGTATGAATACAAATGTACATTGAGTCATGTTTAGCTTTCACCTAAACACACCTATGCATCCTCACCTCTGGGCTTCTGTGCAAACAAATCTTTGGCCTGCAAAGCCCTGTCCTAATTTCTCTGCTAATTTTGCAAGGTCATTAAGAATTAGTCTTCTGCTTACTCTCTCCTTCTGAACTTCCTAAACTCTCCTTTCCTCTAGGTCTTCTTTGTCCCCTTGTAATACTTACCAGGTGACTGGGAGCCACGGTGTCTGGCTCTCTCAGACTCCAGAAGAGTCCCTCCTAACACCTGTAGCAGAGTTCTGACCACGAAGCTGCCATGTGTGTCTCCACAGTAGAAAAGAAAATCATCACACACCTCAGAGGCTAGTCCCAGGATCAACTCCTCCAGGGTCTCCAAGAGACCATCCTTCCCATCCTCCTCCTCCTCCTTCACCTCCTCTGCAGGGCTCCTCAGCAATCGAGGCAGCTGCAGCAAAGCACTTTGCAATACATGGACCCCACATCGATGACAGGCCACAAAGCGCAAGTTTGAACTCAGAGCAGCCCACACTCGACACAGAGATTTCAGGGGACTGAACCCCAACAGTTCCTGCAGCATCTCACTGCCAGTCCTATCTGTGGCCAAGGCTAGGGCTTGAGCCTCCACTTCCTTCAAAACATTGTGCACCATCAGCTCTGGAAAGACAAATATTTTAAAGAGACTAAGAGGAGGAGAAGGTTATATTCCATCACTTAACCAAGGGGCTGGGAGTGAGAACCGAGATACGGGAGATGAAACTAAGTCCCCACACCCTGGGAACCCACGAAAATTTCCTTGCCTGTCCTGGATTTTATGCCCAATAAGTCCCTCTCTTGGTCCCACCCCTTGGTCCCTACCTCGTTCTTCTCCGGTCTCCGGGGCCCCTTTCAGCGCCGATAACGCCCGACGGAAATATCCCAGCGCTTCGGGGCTCAGGTGAGGGTGTGGATCTACAGCTAGCTCCGAGCGCCCGTCCGGAGGCGGGCGAGATTGTTGTTGGCGTCCTGATGGGGGACGCCCCGACCCCTTGGCCCCGCGCCCTCGTTTGCCACCAACAGGGAACCGGCGCCCGGCCTTATGGGGGGAGCGCGGACCTAGCCCCATGGGTACTTCAGACACTCTACGCCCGCGAAAGCTTCCTCGGCCGCAGATGGACTGCATTCAACCAGGTGTCGACTGACCCCCTACGGAGTTAGAAACGCCGGCGTGCTCAAGACGCAGCGCACACGTCATAATTCCGCGACTGCCCCAAGCCGGGCGGGAGTGGGTGTGTCCCCAGATCGCTCCGCCTCGCTCTGGCCTCGCCCACAATCGCCCNAAAAAAAAAAAAAAAGAAGGTCCAGGACAAGGGGGCATTCTTAGAGGTGTCGCCTCACATGGGGAAGGGACTTCAAATGGCCATACTCTCAGGGTAAAGGAGAACTAGAATCAAATCTAGCCTTCTACCCTAACTCCTAACCCATGAAACCCCAGAGAAGTAAGGCTTGGCGCTAAGCAGCAAAGGAAAAGAGGAGCTTTGGCAATAGCGCCAGCGTTCATATGCATCTACCGTCAAGTACCCAGTCTGAGTGGGCCATGAAACCTCAAGCTGCTAACAGATATTGGCACCTGAGAGAAGCCAAAGCACATCCTTTCTGGGAAGAAGGCACCTTCACTCTAAGCTCTGGGAATCTCCCAGAAATAACTTTTCAAGGGGAATCGCCAGCCCGTGGAGATACAGAGATACAGAGGCAGGCACACAATAAAATAAGGCCCAATGAACAAGAACTAACAGAAACAACAGAGTACAGAAACAGACCCAGCCAAGTTCTCAACTCACTAGCTCAGGAGTAGAGACAGCATCCAGTAAACGCTGCAAAGGGAAGTTGGCAATAGGATGTGCAGCCAGGGTCTGCAGCTGCCCTTGGAAGTGATCCTCAAAGAGGCTCTGGAGCCTCGGGGGCTCCAACACCAGCAGCACCTGCTCTAGGAGTCTGGAGCTCGTCTGATCCCGCAGAAATAGCAGTAGGGGGCTGGGGACAAGGAGAAGATAGCCTTAATTCCACTTCACCCAAAATACCTACGTCACCTCATTCATTTCACACAACCCCATCAACCTTGGCCAATCCTGAGGCCCTGACCATACCTGCCATCTGCTGAGGAATTGCAGTTACTCAGGTAGCCAATCACAGCATTACAGAGGTGGGAACAAAACTGGGGCAGTTTGCGGTGTAAGATCTGTAAGGCCACTTGAAGGCAGAAGCTGGAGATCTTGTCAGTGATAAACACTGTGGGGAGAGCAGAAATAATAAAAGCAGCTTCCCCCAGATCCAGACAACCTGTACAACCACAAACCTCAAGCAACATGGTACAAGGGACTATGGACACAAAGGGTCTATAAAGAGTCTTTGCAACATCAAATCAGATCAGATTTGAAAAGAAGAGAAATAAGAGGGTCTAAATAAGGGCCTTGTATGAAGATAATCACCTCCAGAAAAGCAGATCCTAGACCCTCTTATTTCCCTCCTTACCAGCAATGTCTTTCAGAAAGCAGGAGCTCAGGTCCTGAAGGCGATTCAAGAAGGATTCAGGAACCTCGAAATCAGTTGGTTTACATTCCCGAGTTGGGGCCTTTTGTGCTTCTGAAGGAAGATCAAGAGTGTGTGCAGTAGTAAAATCACAAACTACCACCCAGGAGAAGAATTCCTCAGATGAATAAGGATTCCACTTAGAGATGCAGAACACAACTAAATATCTCTTCTCAGCTAGATGGCTGAATTGAGGCTACATTTCTATTTTAATTTTTCTAAAAAACTTCAACCAGCTCTCCCATGGTCCATAGGAAATAGTC